AAAAAATTCGGCTTTGAATACAGCCATTGCTGTGCCTTGCCTTTTAACTTCCCAAATAATAGCAAACGCATAGTATCCTCATCAACTGCAAACATAACTCTCATATTTTCAATTTGTGTAACCCAGACGTCAACACTAGCATCACCATTATACTCCGGCACCAATCCTTTTAAATTGTCAACTGATCTGCTTACTGGGTTATTCAGCTCACGACGTGGCAGCGCTGCACCTGCACTCTCACCGATACTCGAAAGTCTGCGCAAAAACTCATTCTCCCTAACTAAAAACTCCTTCTCACGCTTTAACAACTCTGCCTCCCGTTGTAAAAACAAAACGTTAACTTCAGCAGCATCACGATTACCATAGCTTTCATGATCTACATTTGTTTGCTGCTTAGAAGTAAGGGCTGCATTTTCATTTTCTTGAAGAGCTTGTACCTCATCTGTCTCAGTCTCAGCATCACCTTCTAACCCAGTATGAACAATGGGACAAACACCACGCTGATTTTTAGGCACTTCACTAACCCGCAGCGCAAGTGTAGCTTTGCATCCTGACGTGGGCAATTTTAATTGCCTCAACCACTCCCGCAGCTGAACCAAAGAATAATCTTTTGCGCAAATTGGTTCTTCCATATCAACAAATTAGTTTTTTGCGATTTTCTCTTTTGCTTAAACTTTCTTTTATAAATTCTTCTCTTATACACTCCTTTTACAATCTTTATATTTTAGTTCCTTTACTTTCCTCCTTCAGTTCTTAACAGGACACTCGTTGCTTTCTTGAATTCCTTACAGGACACTCTTTTCCTTCTTCGATTTTTCTTTAAACTTGCATTTTTTGTCTTTAAAATTGTATAAATTTGCAGCTGCACATCGGTTTCATATATTTTCAGTTCCTTAATTTTAAATTTTTAAATATTTTATATTTTAGCTTTTATAAAATTTTTTTCCTCAATTTTCAGGAAGGCTGTCGCTCGATCCCTACTTCTGAACTGTAGGATGCCGTAATTTAACAAAACACGTCCGCTGCGTTCAACAAATCTTTTTATTCTAATTCTAATATAAATTTTCACAATTCAGAAAAACTTATTCGTTAATTTCTATTTTCAACGAGTCACGTACACATGCTCCCCTTTTACATACATTCAACAACGAGTCACACAAGTTTACGCCCCCTTAAACATAAGTACATACATATACACACACACATTTATCAGAATGAAACATACA